GTTATGGTTTTCAACATTTTGAAAGGTTGGCTTTTCAGCTTGAGATGCTGATATTTCTAAGGGAGAGTATTTGACATAATTGTCAAATTTCCTAGAACTTTCTCCAAATAACCCTACTGAAGGATTACCTTGTTCAAAATTTTCTTTTAGCTCTTGTTAGGAGCTCTTCTTTGCCATTTGGTTAGATTCCCTAGAGCTGTTTTTGACAGTAGTAATTACTTCAAAATTCATTAATTTTTTTTATCAACTCTTCTTCTAGGGCATGTTGTCCTTGGTTTAATAACTTAAGGCCTTTAATAATCTTTTATTGACATTCATCCATTATCACTTAGCCTTTGATCATTTTTTTTTTGGCCTTCTCTTATTTGGCTATTGCCTTCAATGAGTTTCTTTTGACCTCTAAGAATAAGGCCTTTTCCTTTACTTCTAAGTTTCAGGATCTCATCAATTAGCTCTTTCTCTACTCAAGAAATCTGCAAGACAATTATTAGTTCCTTTGACATGTTCAATTTCAAAATCATATTCTTCAAAGAATGTTTGTCATCTATTTAATCTTTTATATTATGGTGTTAAAGGTAATTTATTAAAAATAAATTTCTTAACTTGAGTATTGTCAATTCTAATCTTAAAATGTTTTAGTATAAGAAGAAACTAAACTTTTTTATTCTATTTTTTATAGCCAATACTTCTTTTTTATTAGAATGATAGCAAGTCTCTACATCTTTAAATATACCTATAGCATATCTACAAACTTTCTCTTGAGAATTTTTCAAAGCTTCCCCCTAAAATGTGTTTCCTAGCATCAATTCCACACTTTCAATCATTTCTATTTCAACATGAGCTATTATAGTGATTTCATGTTGTATCTTATTCTTATCATCTATTCTAAGAGGTACTTTAGCATATTCATGTACTGTAGCCACCGCACTATTAAAATTGTAATATGTATATGGCTTAATAAGCTCAAATCTTTGTAGCTGTGGAATCATATTAGTATGGATATGTGTTACTCTTGCTATTGTATCTATCAACATAGAAATGTTATGCCATTCCTTTCCATCATAATAATCTCCTTTTATTTTGAAATGTCTAGAGGGGATCTTTAAGGTATCTAGCACCACTTCATGTTTTATACTAGTCATCCTGGTTAAGACTTCTTTATCTTTTTTAGGGTAGCTCAACGTCCCTAAGTTTATACTATTTCTATGGCTTTGTTTAGGTTCTATTCTAAGTAATAGTCTTCTTGACTTATATGCCATTAATCTAAGTTTTTCTCTTTCTCCTATTAATAGTGGTTTTTCACTAAGATCTATTTCTCATTTTTTAGGTAGTTCTATTTCAGTGATCATTGCTAGTTTTTAAATTTGTCTTGTTTCAGTGAACATAAAATCTAATTTAATATATTCTTTGTTTTCGAAAAGATTAGACTGATAACTATTGGTCAATGCATAACTTATCATATAGCAAATACTATATGGCATTGATCCATCTTTCATAAAATTCTCTCTAGTAAATCCATGTGCTAGATTTAGTGTTTTGTTGATATTTCTATCATTAATATTTTAGCACACTTTGGATATACTATGAACATAAGTTTTTGGCAACTAAGGTTACCTTAAACTAATCCTAGGATAGCATCCTTTCTATTATTAATTCTATTGTCTATTAAAGCTAGTTTTATTGAGATGTCTATAACTTCTCTAAAATGAGCTTCAATAAGGATTTAAATTCCTCCTATATGGATAAATCATATCCTTGATCTATTGGATTCCTTTATTTTTGATAATTTATTTTCTATTTCTAACTTGATGAGTAGAGGTATATTTATTGTTCTTGTTGTATTCTTGATAAGAATGCTATATTCATTGGTGGATATTCCCTAACAAACTATATCTTTCCTAAGGATTATTTATAAAGGAATTTGACTTGAATCCCTATTCTATTACAAGGTCCATTCCTTTTTGTCTAATTCTTTTATACTTACTTTTATCAAATACAAATACTTAGCTATATTCTCCATATCCTTTATATTCTTCTTCAGAATAAGCTTCTCCTCCTTCGATATTCAGATTTGTCACTACTGGAAGTATCTAAACTTCTACTTCAAATATAATTCCATTACTATTTATAGAGCTAGTTTCTATTTAGCTTAACTCTTCTTCATAAAATTTTAAAATCTTAGTACTTTCTCTTTTATATCTTTTAGGATATTCATTTGCATAGTATTTTTCTTCTTTACATAACTAGCATGTGCATTTCTTAGAATTCTTTTTATACTTTCTTAGTGCTTTTGTTTTCTTAAAATACCTCTTCTTCTTAACAAAAAATTTATTCTTATTAAACCTTTGTTTATTACTTCTTGTAATTTTAAATCTTTTGTTTCTCTTCTTGTGGTTTGAATAACTACATCCCAACTTGATTGAATCATTATTTTTGGGACAACATATTCCCTTTTCCATACTTTATTTTTTAATTTATTAATAGCTATAGGTTTCTATACACCACTGATTTATTTTGGTTTTTGAGAACTAAATTCTTAGGCCTGAGGTATCAATTTAATCTTCTACATAGGTTCTATAAGCTTCTACTAGTTTTATTCCCCAAGGATTAAGGATTTTTCCAAAAAATAATTCTCTTAGACCTTTAGCCATTCCATGATTTGAGGTTTTATAATAGTATTTCTGGAATAAACAAATTCATTAGTTTAGCTCACAGAGATTACATTATTCTAAATTTTGCAAGTTCCACATTGCTATTCTTCCAATTTTGGCTTCTTCTTTTTCTTGATTTTCTTCCCAATTTTCTACTAAAAATTCTTTTCTTATAGTTGATTTGAACATAGTTATTATGTCCTAGATTGCTTCATTTTCATTTACTTCTTCTGAAGTAAGATTTCCACTTACAATGGCATTACTTTCTTCTTCATTTAGATTGACAAACCAGTCATGAACTATCCCTCTAAAGGTGACCTCGATAAATCTAACTACTTGTAAAGCATTCTAGTTTTTGTTTGCTATGATTGTCCAAGTGGCTTGAGTTCAATCACTAATGACTTTTTTTGGGTCAGTAACACAGTCTAAATGTCGTCAAATGCCATTGGTATTGATAATTTGTTCTTTGACTCTAACTAAGGTTTTAAGTCTAGATTGATTTCCAAATTTCTTTCTATCATATAATATTTCATGTATTTGGTTTCTATTTTTTTTGTAACTTTGACTAGTGCTAGACTCTACCCTTGTTGTATCGGGAATTTTGTTGGAGTTATGTTAGAATGTCTCTCATGTTTTTCTTCTTCATTTTCTTCTTCAATTTCTTCCTTTCCTTCTCTTTGAATATTCATCTTCATATTTTCTAGTTGTTTAATAGTTATCATAATCTATTTGCACAAATTGTCTAATTCTTCCACATTTTCCTCCTCTTGGAATCTTTGTTCTAATTCTTTCAATTTTGCTTCTTGAGCTTTTAACATAAAAAGTGTTATTCCCTCTGATTTAGGTTTTTCTATGAAAATTCTGGGATTACTTTAAATCCTTCATTTATTTATATAATGTTTCATCTACTACAAACTAAATAAAATAGTATCTTGTATATCCTTAAGCTGAGTTTGGATTTTATATAAATTCTTATCTATATCACTTTTCAGTTGCAGGATTACTCTATTAAACATCTTTAAGCTTTTACGGTAAATTCTTAAGTAACTACTTTTAATATCTTAAGAATTTCTTCTATTTTGATTTCTATATCTCTAACTTGAGATATTAGAGTCTTTGAGTGTTTGATAGATTTTATTTCTTCTTTTATTTCTTTCAAATCTTTTGAATTTTTAATTCTATTTATCTTGTCTTTGATAGACTCAAATTCTTATGAAAGGGATTTTCCCATTTCTTTAATTCTTCTCAAACTATTTTCATTGATAATTTCTATTTCTATAATCTTATCAATGATAATTATATCTTCACTACGAATTATGTTTTTACCCACTGTATTGAGTAAATACATGTTAATACAATTTATTTATTCATTATTCATGTTAATTTTAGTAAATCAATTATTTCTTTTAATTTATTAATTCTTTGTTCTCTAAATCTAATATGCCTATTTTTTTTATTAATTCCGATATCCAGTAACCACATTGGATCTCGATTAATTCAAAATCGAGCCGTGTCGGATCCCTTATTGGGGGAAGCTCTCCTAGCGACTGTTTTTCTATTTACAATACTCAAACTTAAGACTTTGCTTAAGAGAACCGAACTCATTCCACTCAGATCAACAGGTTGTTGGTAACAATATGCCTATTATACAATATTATTATGGAGTTTATCATTCCATTTTCCTGTCTTAACTCAACAAGGCGATTTTGTTTTATTTCTTCTAGGATTCTTTTTGGATAGTAAATATTTAGTATTGATCTTGTATATGTGGCAATGTCTCCCATTAAGATTTTCTTGGGGTTTAACTATTGTCCTGTTGTTTATTTGAGGACTAATCCTGCAATTTTTCAATTTTATTTGGCGCCAGCTTAATCTCTAGTGACTCTAGGGAGTGATTTGCCACTGATTTCCGTACAAGGGGGTGTTTTGCCACCATATTGCAGGTATAGGGGTTTATTTGCACCTTATGCTTAACGTGTAATACAATCTCCAACCAACGTGTTCAATTTGTTGACTTTGATTAAACTAGAGAGAAGTACCATGTAGCTAGTAGTTATAACAGTCGTGCTGCTGTGTATGGACGGTGGCTATATGACGTTAAAAAAAAAAAAGAATATATTTAGTTTAACATATTTTTTAATATTTATTTTAATTTAATTATTAAAATATAATATAAATATATTTAATTTAATCAATTTTTATATTTTATATGTATAATTATATTTTTAAGTTTAT